AGCGGGAGCCAGAGAAACCACCAGTCACGACAGACTCCTACCACTACGCCGCTGACAGAACGAGCCATCACGATCCAGACAGAACGAGCCATCACGATCCAGTTTTGGCTGGTAGAATACCAGGACCGTAAGATTTGTTTAGTTACTTTATTTTTCTTTTCTTTTCTTTTCTCTTTTCTGTATTAGAGAAGTAAGTTTTTTTAATTTTATATAAAATATTTAGGCGTAAATATTTTTTCCGTAGAGGAGAGGGTGTGTAACGAAGTTACTAAAGTTTTACCGTGTTTTCGTATTTGGCTGACTACAATCTCCGTTCTTCCTTCAAAACTGCTTCATAAAATAACGCGAATTCCTTAAAGCTATTCTCCTAATAAATGGTCTAAGTAAAATAGGCTTTTTCGAGGGTTCTTGTTTTTCGCGATCAGCTGATGCCGCTCCAGTCACCGGGCTTCGGTACAGTTTCGCGCGACGTGTGCCGCACTATTACTTCTCCCACTAGTTGTTCCTACTACCGACGCGTTCCCCCCGCCGGGATTTGTCTGTAAAACTAGCGAACACGGCCAAGAACAGTAATTCCGTCCACCGCCACAGACCTGACCAGCAGCCACCTAGCCCGGACAGAGGTAAGCTGCTAATACCGTTTCCGAACCGATAGCGCCGACCCGACCGTTACCGAGTCCTATCCAGGTGAGTGAGCTGCTTATATACTGCGACGTACCTGGATTGAATGGGGTTATGTGATTGGAACACGTACACGGTGACTTTATTCTTTCCATGACGGACACGAGGGGGCCATGTGATTGGAACACGTTACACGGTGGCGCTCTCTGTCTTTACGGATCAGTATAGCAAGTGCTCATGGCTCTATCTGGATTATTCGCCCCCACACAAACTGGATGAGGGAGGTGCTTATACATTGCGACGTACCTGGATTGAATGGGGTTATGTGATTGGAACACGTACACGGTGACTCTATTCATTCCATGACGGACACGAGAGGGCCATGTGATTGGAACACGTTACACGCTGGCGCTCTCTGTCCTTACGTATCAGTGTAGCAAGTGCTCATCGCTCTATCCAGATTATTAACAACCCAGATTAGTGTGTTTCATTTTGGAAAATGCGCATAGACCTCTGGTTTTTCCGTCTTCACTGTGTGCACGTGGGCCCTTAACCACTATAATCCTAAGGGTGGCGCCCAAGTTTTCCGAAATCCCCGAACCGACCGCTTTCGTACCGGAAAACCAAAGTAGCGCTACATGTGTCCTAAGATTTTCATCTTCTAATGTTTGACCAACTGTAGCGATAAAATCTCCAAGAAACATTTCGCGATTTGATAGAGATTCAAGTGTCTACTCAAGGTCGTTATAAGATGATTCCACAGTGTCGTCATCCGAGTTGGAAGTAGGTGCATAGTCCAGTACAATATTGATCGGTGTAGGGGTCGCATTGATTCTTAGCGTGATTATCCTGTCACTGACACACTTGTAGCCGAGAATAGTACTAACGTGGGCTCTCGCCACCCAAAATACAAAAAAAATTGATCATAAACATTTTTTTATTATTTGTTGAATTGACAGTTTGTCATCGGCCCTCCTTTTCTAATCAATGAAAGTGACAAGGGTCTTTCTGGATTTTTTTTTATCAAGTTGGCCATGGATTGATACATGCATAATTATTTGACCAATACTTCATTGTTAAATTTGACAGAAGTGACCACTGACAATCAACTTCAAGAGCCGGGAATAGACAAATATTGATTGAAAAGTAATCTTTATTATTTGTTGAATTGACAGTTTGTCATCGGCCCCCCTTTTTTAATCAATGAGAGTGACAAGGGACTTTCTGGAAAAATATGTTATCAAATTGGCCATGGATTGACACATGCACCATTGAGGCTTTCGTTGGAATTGCCGAACGAACTTATCACAGCTAGAAGTCAAGTGTCCTGCATCCCTATAATGAGTCTAAGACAAACCAGAGATCGCAATATTACTTCTTGTAAGCTCTTTTTCAAGATTATTGTGTTTACCAGTCGCTTGAAGACCTCTGACCTCTGACGTTCCAAGTGTCATCAGTAAAGTCAGTTCATAAAGTCTATAGACTTTTTCGAGTGCATGATCTGAGATTTTGGACGCTGATCGGCCAAAATTAAGGGTCGACTTGGGCGACCAGCGATCAATTTGAACGATTAACCCAAGGTCATAGTGAGGCCCCAAAATCTAGCCAATCTGCGTCCAAAATCTCAGATCAAACACTCGAAAAAGTCTATAGACTTTATGAGCGAACTATAGTTAGTTTCTAACAAAAATCCTGATAATGGTACTTCTTGTGCCCGGTCACCAATTTCACACTGACTCCCTCAGACGAGAAACGTCGAAATTTGAGACACAATCGAAAGCAATGTAATGGGTTTTCTGGATGAAATTAAATTTTCACCGGATTTGAATAAGATCTAGTTGAGGGAGCTGCTTGGGAAACATATTATTGACTCTAAGATATTGGACACTGGTGTGGAAAGAATAGAGGAACAACTAGTTGCTTCGACAATTAACACAGCTCTTCGTGCCAGAGGGGAGGAAGTATAGTTTATAAGCACTTAAAAATAGAAAACCCAGCACCTGCAGCAGATGCTCAAAGAGAACAAGATAAGTCTAAAGATGAAAATTTATTGCCAGGAGATTTGGAAGCTGTATCATCAAATTCATCAAGTGATCATCCATCACGTAATAGATTTGAGATAAATAAAGAATCTACAGAGATAGAGGTAAGTCCGAAACTTGCATCATCACGTAAAGCTGAGAGTCCTGATGATACTGAAAATATTATGTCAAGTGAAGTAGAGTGTATAAGTTTAGATGGACATTTCTGAAGTTACAAATATATTACAGATGAGTGATGACGCAAATATCAATGCTGAGAAAGAAGGTAAAGAGAAAAATGACAAGGAAGTCCCACTCTAAAACATCCAATGATAAACACAAAGGTATTTTAGAAAGAAAGGATGATAAGAAGGACAAAAGCAAAAGCCATCGTCTTCACCAATCTGGAAAAGCAGATAATAAAAATAACTCAGTTGGGAAACACGTTTCTCAAAAGAAAGACAGAAAGACAGGAAACATCTGAAAATATCCAGTCTTTCAAAAAGGATGGCAAGGAACGTGACAACAACATAGATAAGGTTGACCAAAAACCGAAGAAAATAGAGACAAATCAGATAGCAGAAGTGAAGAAGTTGATAAACCGAAAGAAAAATCAGATAAAGAGAGACCACAGAGAGAAAAGTCAATCAAAGATAGGAGAAAATGTGATAAAACAAAAGACTAATAGAAAAATTGACACAAAAAGAAACACATTATAAATCAAAATCAATAGACAAAGATCCGCAAGATATAGCAGGAAGCAAGCTTTATTAAGCATAAAAGCGTTTTTATTCTCATCAAATTTCACCGATGGTTCCACCATTCTATGTCGGTCATTGCCATTTTCCATTCACTAAACAAAGATAAGTAGCTAACTCATCGGTGAAGACATCGATTCGAATAAATACGAGGGGGCCAGTGGGGGCCGATTGCCAGTCGGAGAGAGAAGCCTTTCCGAGAGATCTTTAATCTTCCATTAGCTTCCTGCATCCTCATGCCGTTGACCAGATATCGATTCATCCTCATTTAGGGACAATTTTTCATACCATGACTCTTATTAACTCCTCCACTCGAAGCTGTTAGTTGACAAAACGGTACTGCTTATACCGGCAGAATTTCGGTTCCTTTTAGTCGCCTTTTACGACACGCAGGATATACGTTGGAATATTTATATTCTAATCCGCTCTCAGACAGCGCACGCAAAGAGGTTAATATTGTTATAGATCAACTCTAGCCAATTCCGGAAGCAACGATGCGGTATAAGACAGAGTCGGCCACCGAGGAAAAGTCAGTATCTCAAGAATTACTTAATTATCGCGAGTCACTAGTAAGACAGTGGGTTGTGATTGTTTTGTTGCTAGTTAAGCTTAATTATTAATACGAAGTTTTGTTTCGTCGTGAATAAAGGAAAATTTACTTTGAAGAAAATTACATTTATCTTTGCTTACGTAACAATCTATTTTATTTATTCAAAATCTCATTCCTAATCCCAAACATTCCTAAAGGCTTTTTCTGGCACGGGAGATCTTTAGCACCGGTTTCACTTATACTTCACTTCCCGTAAGAGGCACTTGTGTGAGTTTTAGCCACTAGTAGGAGACACTTAAATATTTCGGGCAAAGTGTCTTCGAACAATCCATTTCATGCTTAGTAACACCTTCTAATAGCAAGAGTTTCCTGAGAGATAAGTGAAAAGCCTATATAAGGCCTTTTTTTAAATTTATTCATTAAGGTTTATTTATAAGATCTTCAGAAGAAGAAGGCATTCAAGAAAATATCTAATGCCAGGTATATCAAAAGTGTTTCAGAACATTCAAAAATAAATTTGTCTTTTTCCGCACTTGTTTCCTAATATGTTAAAAGTAACTTTTTCACAACCCCTGACATTTCAACGAAAAAAAACATTTAATTTGATTGTGATCCGTCCGATGCCATCCCTACGATAAATTTCACTCAAATATGGCAAAGACAGGACACTATCAATCATTGAAAACGAGCGGTCTGAGCTTCAACAGATGCTCCTAGTTTAGCTTTATTTTTATTTTTACTGCTGTTTGCTTCGTATCGGATAACGTTATAAAATTTTATTCGGGATGACCCTTAAAGGAACGAATTTAATGTTGATCCCTCCGGCATTTTACTGGAAACATTTTTGCTGAAAAAGAAAAAAATGAATATTTATCAAACAAATCAGTCATAAGCGAACGCATCCATATTCAGCTACAGCATCCATAAGTCAATAAATCCATTGACCTGTTTAAAAAATAACCTTTTATCAAACGTGGCGCATCGATTTTTTATCAGTAAAACTGCCAGGCTTGGGGTAATTTGAATGATTTACGGAAAAATATACTTCACCTATCGAGAGCTATGGCGACCAAATGCAAAATTGATGCTGTACAACACAGCACGTCGCTGGAAGTCCACATATCGCATAGTTCTGGCCCCAGGGACCATTCTTGGTTGACTTCTTGCACAGCGCTCAGCGGCATAACTAAACAGGCGACTAGAAGGTCAGCTACGGCAAGTGAGAGTATCAGATAGTTGGCGACGCTTTGGAGGTTTCTTTCTAGGAGGATCGCTGCTATCACAAATACATTGCCTGGAAGAAAATAATAAAAATCAGTTACAGAATATAAATGAAAATTATCTAAGCATCAACTACTAATAGCTCGTACAATGATTTTGTAGTGATACCGGCGAGGTCGTTACTTGGTTTGCTTTTTGAGACTGTTTTTCTGATTTGGCCTGCTTTTCGCTTAGATATGTTGTACTGATGAGAGCTAACAATCACAAAATCAGTATGCAATTAGTGCAGCATCTGATGAATGAAACATTTTGTAGAGAGAGAAATATCTGGATTTATAGCGGCTTTTGATTTGACTGAAAAATCACCCAGCGATTCAAAATCCGCTAATAATATCAAAATTACTTCTAACTATAAAATATTAACGGCGCTTGATTGCCTAAAAAAAAATTATTGTTCCATTCAAGAGTGGGTGTTTATCAACATTTGGACTATTAACGGAGCTTGATTGTATTTAAAAAAATCATCCAGCAAATCAAGAGAAAAAAGAATCTAAAACTATTCACAAATAACATATCAAGCCTTGCTGCCAATTACCAAAATCCTATTATAGCTAGCGACTTTAACCTGCAGTGGCGGCTCGTCAGAGGAGGCAGGGGAGGCTAAGCCTCCCCCAAAAAATTGAAAATTCTCAGTTTTTTATTCCTAATTTCTAATTAAAATATTAATTCACAAATTACACTTTCCAAATTTCGATATTTCAATGTAATTTAGAAAAATTTGACAACATTATTTCAATCAATCCCGCGCCTCCATCACGACAAAAAATCTGTGAATCTGGGATACTCAGTAATACGAGCCCGAAGGGCTAAAATTATACGTGAGCTTAAAGGGGCGGAGTAATATGCGAGCCCGAAGGGCCGAAATTATACGCGAGCCCGAAGGGCAGGAGTTATACGAAAGCCCGAAGGGCCGGAGTTATACGCGAGCCCGAAGGGCTAGAGTTATTTTAATCACGGGGGCCCCCAGTCTATAATTCTATTGGTCAGCGGATAATTTGGAGCCAATCAAAAATCGGAAATATTCAAAATAAAATCATTAACATTCCTGAAAAATATTTCCTTTAAAATTCCCAAATATTTTTTGGAATCCCCAAAAGTCTCAGAATTTCATAATTTAGTGGAATTTCCAGGAATTTCGGAAGAATAATTATGTTATTCTGAAAAAGGAATTGGATGTGAAATTTTTGCGAAGTTTCCATAGAATTCACATTAAATTTCAATTCATCTCGAATTATTTGAAATTTCAGTGAAATTCAGATCGAATTACACGAAATCCTAAATGAATTACATGGAGGAATTTTAAACAATTATATGAAATTACACCGAAATTCCCAACATGAAATTTCAATTCTTACTGAATTTAAGTAATGCCGAAGAATTTCCAACTAAAAACATGGAATTTCGGTGATATTCCGAAAAATTCCCATGTAACGACATAAAATTTTAATATATTTCGGTGAATTTTTAAGAAATTACTTGAAGCTTCATTAATATTCCCAGAAATTCCTAACAAAAGAGAATTTCAGTGAAATTCCGAAAAATTCTTATGAAAATAAATTAAATTTTGAAAAATTCCTTGAAGTTTCATTGGACTTTCGTGAAATTTTTGGCTATGAACGTAGATATTCTCATAAAATTTTAGTAAATTCCGAGGAATTTTTAAGAAATTATATAAAATGTCAATGAAATTCTGAAGAATTTTTGTGGAATTCCAGGATTTCAGTGCTAAAATTTTGGAGAATTTTAGTAAAGTTAAAAAAAACAATATGGAATTTTGAAATTGAAATTTTAGTGGAATTCCGAGGAATTTCATGAAATCCTATACTGTAATTCCGAAAAAAAATAGTCCAAGAATTCCATAAAATCTTTGAAATGTTAAGGTTATGGAATTACTTAAAATTTTCGCGGAATTCCCATGGAATAACCTAAAATTTTAGTGAAATTCCAAAGAATTTTGATGAAATCTTCGAGAGGTTAATCACTACCCGAAATCGTGTCACAAATTTGTTCGAAATCCACGAAATCACTCCGAAATCCCTCCGGAATCTTTCAGAAAATCTTTTCGTAAACCCAAAAATTCCTCGTAATTGGCTCAAAATTCATAAATCGGCCAACGCGGCCGTTTTTCAGTTTATACTAATACACTTTTGAATACACTTATAAGATAAGTAACAGTCTGAACTCAAATTAAAGTCTTTGCGAAATCACCTGAAATTCTCCAAAATCCTTCGAATTTACCCCAAAATTCTTCGAAATCACCCGAAATCCCTTAAAATCGCTCTAAGGAGCTGATTCTGTAACTTGTCGTTACTTGACGACATCGTTGTGGTAACGACTTTGATGTGAACGATATTTTCGGAAATCGTATTCCGTAACCGAATCGTTACGTTCAACTTAGTGACAAATCGTAACGACAAATATCGTGTGATTTTACGAAGGTTAGTAGTGCTGATTTAGCATAAGCTAACTTCATTTAGTTGTAACTATCAGTTTTCGGTCAGTAGGTATTTGCTGCTCTTTTAAGATTAGTTTTTAGATATTATTACTACCTAACTGCGCAAAATTATTATAAATTAAATTAGGAATTATTATAATGGGTACCGAAGGTGAGAAAGGTAAAGGTAGATCGGCTAGAACAACTCGGGATCAATATCAAATGTATCTTGACGAACTAGGCACAAACAAATGTTTCCGCGAGTATAAATTCGATGGTTCCGAACCTGATCTGATTCAAAATACTTGGGGTAAACTGACTGAGAAATTAAATTCTTTGGGGGATCCTATCAGGACTGTAGCGGGATGGAAAAGGGTAAGTTATCTGCCTTATCCTGTCCAAGTCGCATTACCTTTTTTAAATGAAAATAATGGTGGATTCAAGATTTTCAGCGATTGGAAAAGTCAAACCAGAGCGAAGGCACGAAAATATCATTTCTGATCTCATGTTCCCTATTCAATAGCTAAGCATCGTCAATTTCATTTTGATCAAGATGCTCATCATCATTGTTCTCCTGTATAATGATATCTTCAGGAACCAATGTATTTCTGTCCCTTATAATGTTGTGTAGAATCGCACAGGCATAAACTATTCGTGCAACGAAAGCTGGATGATAATGAAGAACTCTATCAGGATGTAGGCACCTCCAGACCCCCTTCAATTCTACCTTCAGGTGCAGCGCGGACGATGGGAGTTAAAAAATAGGACAAAAGCGGGTATCCTGAGTCTCCAAGTAAATATAATCCATGGTTGCCATGAAGAAATCTCTGATGCATAAATCTTCTTGGATTACTCATCCTCCAAATAGCTGCGTCGTGAACGCCCCTGGAAACTGAGCATTTATGGCCAATATTTTACAATTAGAATCGCAAATTATTTGACAGTTTATACTGTAAAAGTTCTTCCGATTTATGGATACGTTCAGTGGATATCCAAGGTCTTCACCACTTGGTGAAACTATTTTTATGTGGGAACAATCAATACACCCGATGATGCCACGAACATGAAACTTGCGATAGTATCCATTTGTAATTTCTGCTATCTGTTGAACATTTTGGGGAAATTGGATGTATGTGTTAGCCATATGGTTAACCATAGCATTAATCACTTCATGCAAGTACCGGCTAACGTTAGCCTGCGATGATCCGTTGAACGTGTCTTCACTCACAGATTTTTGCTAGCTGCCATGAGCTAAGAAGTGAAGCGCTACGAAAAATCTAACTACAGGTGGTGTTTTGGTGTTTCTCACTCCAATATCAAGGTGCGGCAATATTTCCTGAAAATAGTCATTAGCCGCCTCAACAATAAGCCGGTACATCCTCCTAAAAACGTTCTCGGGCAATTCAAAAGGATTACTATTATCTATCAACCGGTGGAACGTATTTCTTCTTTGCTCTCTGAAATTTCGTATGGTTTTGACGAACCTTTTTTGTAATTCATCCAACATGCGATCTAACAAGTCGTTCATTGTCGATATTTTATATTATTTCACACTTTATTGTATTGAATGATCACTCACAATAAAAAAAAACTCTGAACGACTGCCTGAGAGTTGCCGCTAACAAACGATGAAAACTGTCACTTCTCAACGACTGTCGTTCGCTACAGAATAAGTAAAGTCGTTCAGTAACGATTATCGTTGGATACTGAATACTAATGTCGTTCAGTAACGATTGTCGCTCACTAACGACGTCGTTATGAGTTACAGAATCAGCCCCTAAATCTGAAATCTTGTCACAGTGAAGAATCCTTCGAAATCTTTCCGAAATCCTATTTTTTTACTGGAAAAATTTGAAATTTTGGGAAAATGAGCCTTTAAACTTTTTTCTCACATGCAAAAAGTTTCAAAATTGTTTCTTTACTAGCTTTTCAGGAAAACTTTAAAATGTGTGAGACTGTATTTTCAATTAATTCATTTATTGGAGGTTGATTTCCAAGATTCTTCATGTTGTCATTTTCTACTAGAAAAATTTGAAATTTTGGGAAAATAAGCTTCTGACTTTCCTCTATACATGCAAAAAGTTTCAAAATTTTCTCTCAATTAGTTTTCCAGGAAAACTTTGAATTGCGTGAGACTGTATTAACAATTATTTCAGCTTTTGTAAGTTGATTTCCAAGATTCCTTATGTTGCTATTTCCCAATGGAAAAATTTGAAATTATGGGAAAATGAGTCTCTAACTTTCCTCTTCACATGCAACAAGTTTTAAATTTTTCCGTTCACTAGTTTTCCAAGAAAATGTTGAAATGTGTGAGACTGTATTTTCAAATAATTCAGTTATTGTAGGTTAATTTCCATGTTGTTATTTTTCACTAGAAAAATTTGAAATTTTGGGAAAATCAGCGTTTAACCTTTCTCCTCACATGCAAAAAGTTTCAAATTTTTGCCTTTACTAGTTTTCGAGGAAAACTTTGAAAGTGTGAGACTGTATTTTCCAAGAAACAAACCACTTTGGAATTTTTTGTTAAAAACTTGAGGAATTTATAGGAAATTTGGAAAAATTTATGGAGAATTTGGAGG